TGAGCTGTGGGGACTCTAAAGGCCAGGGACCTGGGTCCTTATGCCAGCTTCCAAAGCCCTGTAATCCTGGGGTGGATGGAGTACCCCTACCTTTTTTGCTGCCCCAAGGAGCTGGGTTGGGCTCATTGGGCAATCTAAGGCCTGGTCCTCTATGTAGAGAGTGGGAGAGAAGGGTGATCTATATAGATGCTAAGGGAGGCCTCTCTGAACAATGCTCTCCATCTTATGAGGCACGTTGCTTCTGACAGATCCACAGAGGAGATCATTGCCCTCTTCATTTCCATCACATTCTTGCTGGATGCTGTCAAAGGCATGGTCAAAAGTGAGTGCGGAGCTGGTGGTCATCTGCTGCAGAGGAAGCTAGATGGAGATGGGAGGCTCTGGGTTGTGGCCACATTGGGCATAGCTAAGGTTGTTCCTTCCCATGGTCAAGGGCACTCTGGGATCCTTCATTGGCAGAGAGCAACAGACCCTGCGCTAGAGGGTGACAGGGTTTCCCCAGACAGGATCAAAAATAAGGACAGGCCTGACAGTGTCAGAGATGGAACAAGGACTGAGTATGGGGACAGTGGGTAGATGGGCAGGTCAGTGGGGTCCTGGTCGATATAAAAGGCCAGAGCTCTCTACTGCTTCTCACCCACTCTACCTCCCCTCAGGAGCTTTCTACCTTCAAGGCCCCACTCTGTCCCTTCAGAGTCCCTACCTCTCTCTCATTTCCTCGTTCTCTCACTGGGAAGGTGGGCCCCAACCTTTCACAGCCCGTATGACTGAGGTCTGTTGGCCCATTCTGCAGTTTTCTGGAAGTACTACTATGGTCACCACTACTATACAAAAAGGACTCCATCCTTAGTGAGTTTGTTGGGCATCAGTACCAGCCTCAACACCAGCCTGCACACCACCCTCAATACCAGCTTCCTGGCCAGCCCTACAGAGCTGGCCATGACGGGAAGTCCCAGTGGTACACATTCAGGCCGGGCAACTGCAGTGCTCAGCCTCCTCATCATGCTGGGCACGCTTTGGCTGGGCTACACCCTCTACCAGTTCAAGAAAAGGTGAGGGGGACCTGGGGTGAGGGGAAGGGCAACATGGCCCCTGGGCCATGCTGATCTGCTGGCTGTCTGCAGCCCCTACCTGCACCAGTGTGTGCGCGAGACCCTGTCTGACTGTGCCCTGCCCATTGCGGTGCTCACCTTCTCCCTCATCAGCTCCTATGGCTTCCAGGAAATCGAGAGTGAGTGGGGTCTTACGTTAATTGGGGGTGGTATGGGCTTGCTGGGGCGGGGAGACTGCAGTCTGAGCAGGATCCTGTCTCCTGCTACAGTGAGCAAGTTCCGCTACAATCCCAGTGAGAACCTATTTGAGATGGCAAAGATGCACTCACTATCCCTGAGGGCCATCAGCAGTACCATGGGCCTTGGCTTCCTGCTCTCCCTCCTCTTCTTTATTGAGCAAAATCTGGTGGCTGCTTTGGTCAATGCACCTGAGAACAGGTATATAGGACCAGGAAGGGTGGGGAGAGTAAGTGCCCAGCCCTCTGAGAGCTAATGAGGTTTCTGTCTACATGTGTCCATATGCTAAAGGCTGGTGAAGGGCACTGCCTACCACTGGGACCTCCTGCTCCTTGCCATCATCAACACAGGGCTGTCACTGTTTGGGCTGCCCTGGATCCATGCTGCCTACCCCCACTCCCCATTGCACGTGCGAGCACTGGCTTTAGTGGAGGAGCGAGTGGAGAATGGGCATATCTACGAGACGTGAGTTTGAGAGTGGCTCCTAGAGAGCTGGGGAAAGAGCCATGTGGACTCTGGAGGAGGGTGGGGAGCCTTAGGCCATGTGAGCTAGGGAGGGATGGGGCCCAGAGGTACTGTAGCCCTGCATCCACATGTGGCCTGAGGTGGGCCATGTGGTCTTTTGGTTTGGGCCCCTGCAGGATTGTGAATGTGAAGGAGACGCGGCTGACATCGCTGGGTGCCAGTGTTCTGGTGGGCCTCTCCTTGCTGCTGCTGCCCTTCCCACTGCAGTGGATCCCCAAGCCTGTGCTCTATGGCCTCTTCCTCTATATTGCACTCACCTCCCTGGATGGCAACCAGCTCTTCTCGCGTGTGGCCCTGCTGCTTAAAGAGCAGGTGGGTACCTGGCCTTGGGAGGGAGGTAGGGTTGGTGACATGGCCAACCCTGCCTACACCTGGTCACTGCCTGCAGACATCGTACCCTCCCACACATTATATCCGGAGAGTGCCCCAGAGGAAGATCCACTACTTCACAGGCCTTCAGGTCCTGCAGCTGCTTCTGCTGTGTGCCTTCGGCATGAGCTCCCTGCCCTACATGAAAATGATCTTTCCCCTCATCATGATTGCCATGATCCCCATCCGGTATGGACAGCTGGAGTTGGGGTACTGGGAAAGAGGACTGATCTAGGGTTGGGAGGTGGGTAGGCTGGGTAGTGCCCCTACTTTCTCTTTTCTATTCAGGGCTTATCTTCCTGCCTGTTCTTCCTCTCCCCAGCTACAACCTGCTGCCCCGAATTATTGAAGCCAAATACTTGGATGCCATGGATGCTGAGCACAGGCCCTGATTGGCAGGCCCTGGCCATACCCACTTAACCAACCCTCCCCACCCTCCCACGCTGGCTTTGTGGCTGTGTAGGTGTGGGGTCTGGGTTGTTTCTCTGTGCTGTGTTCTCACAGCTGTCAGGCCTGGGGAGCCTGGACATTGTGGGGGTTCAGTGTGTGCGCACTCACTCCTCCCCTCATTAGCCTTTAGCTTTGGGTCAGGAACATGGCTCAGGGCAGTTTCTGCCCAGGGTGGGACTAAAAGCAGGGTGGATTTTCTTTTGATAAAAGAGTCATATGCCTGAAAGAGAAAGATTTCCTTGATTGTATAAGGAACTCGCTGTGTGCACATTAAAGAATAAAGCTCCTGTTTCTGTGCTTCTATGTACCACATCCTTCCTTGTTACTCCAACCAGATCTGGGGTGGGGAAACATGTCCTGTGTAAGTGGAATAAAGGGGACTGATGTTGAGTACTACCTGTGGGCTGTCACTTCCAGCCCTGCATAGTGGACCTTGGCCCAACAGTGAAAACATCACCCTGTTGCCCAGCACAGTGGGGAAAATGCTCTAGGAATAACACGTTCCAGGACCCAGAGGGGATAGGGCTTCAGCCTTATGGGGTGCTGTGCCTAGTGCTGCAGGGGAGAGCATGGGCTGTACTGCTCCCTGCATAGGGCAGTGACAGAGGGTCTGAGGAGAGAATGGCAGATTGGAAGACATGGGGACTGGTTTAATGGAAGGGAGAAAATGCCATGTTTCTGGCTTATTCATTTGGTGGTTAGTCAGGGTCCATGACAGTGGCAGCCAGCAGAAGTGGTATGGATCTGAGGCTCAGGCAGAGCCTCTCTGTGTACCTGGGGGCAGCAGCTGTGGCAGATGAACACCTGGCTCCCAGACTTCCCTCACATTACCTTGCAGGATTCTGGCTCAACAAATGTCCCCAAGGATGAAGGTATTTTGGACTTCAGTGACTGTGAAGAATTCCTGCAATCCAATAAAAAAAAACAAAAACAAAAAAACACCCCAACAGGACAGAAGAAGTAGCCCAAAAAGAAAATAGGAATGGCAAAGATGTTCAAACCCTTTGGTAGGACTGGGAGTTTAGCTCAGTGGCAGAGTGCTTGCCTAGAACAGTCAAGGCCCTGTGTTCTGTTCCCAGCACTGCAAAACAAACAAAACCCTTGGTAATCAAAGAAATGCAAGCCAACAGAGATGCCACTTTACATTTGATGAGTTGTTAAAGGCCAAATTGGGTTGGATGCAGGGCATGGAGTCTGGTATAATTCTGCTCCAGAGTGGTGGTGATGGGCTTAGGTACAAGTATATTCTCCATAGTCCTATATGGGGATGGGTAGCTAAAGATAAAGCAAACAAAGCATAGTGTGCACCCAGGACAGAACTCTGAAGAAGCCAATCAGCAAATACCAGGGTGTCCTGCCCCAAACTCCATGTATCTACTATACACATGTGGTGTGTGATTCTACTTTGGGGGTCCCTTCCTCAGTAGCCTGGGTGTTCCCTGTAGGTAGGATCATATCCAGAATCACAGGCAAGGGACAGGCAGATCTCCAGCATCACATACTTAAGACCCTGGCAGACATCACCCTCCCACTCTGAGACCACCCAGGAGGATAGGTGAGGTGCTGGTACCTCCTGGGTAAACTACCCAGCTAGGTATGGCAGGCAAGAGGGAAGCGAAGCACTGCCCCAGGTCAGGGGAAGACAATGTTCTCAACGGCTGAGCCCAGCCCTGGGCCACCTTGCCAGGACTGAAGAACATATGCTGGAGTAGAGACTCTCCAGAGCTGCCTGGGAGCACAAAACTTACCCTGGGAGTGGTCTACTAGGACTGAGGAGTACCACCCCAACCTGCTTTCTGCCCTGACCCGTTGTTTTTTTTTTAAACATCCTTGGGGTTGTATACCCTTCCTTATCAGAAAAAGGCCTGCAGGAAATGCAAGGCAGCCACCTGACACCCCCTAAGTCCCTCCCTGGGAATGGCTTCACCAGGGCACAGTGAGGGTCTGAGGCAGTTCTCCTGATGGACCTCTAGACCCCAGGCAAAACTGGCATATGGCATATCACCCCAGCTGGGGTCAAAGATTCCATCCCTTCCCCACCAGAAAAATAACTTGGTATTACAATCAAGCCAACATCTCAACTGCTCAAATGTACAATAGTATAAAGTAAATATCCTGAACGTTCCCCACTGACCACCCCACAATCCAGCAAAGACCATAGAGGCCAGCTGGCAGTGGCATCGACTGGTGGGTGAGTAGATAACACACATCCTGCAAGGAATGGCCAGCTCACAATTCATGACTCGAAAGAACACAAGCAGAGAAGATGTAACATGCAAGCCAGCAAAGGGTAGGCAAACATCCTTGAGAGCGATGCCCTTGTCTCACCACCCCCAAGGGGACTCAGAAGACATCAGCCTGGCAGGGTTCAAAGCAGATGTATCTAGTTTATTTTGGAAACAAGTACCTTCCAGAATTTTTATTTCCCACATTGTAAGAACATTGAAGACTGTTTGGTTCTTTCCCAAACCCTCAATCCTGCCAAGGCCAGTTTTAGCACCTAAAGACCTCTCAGGATCCTAGGCCTAGAGATCACTGAATCCCAGATGGCCTAAGGGCAAGAGACTGGCATCAACTTGCTCAGAATTTCTCTAAGCAGTTAGCTGCTCTTCCAGACCAGGATAGGGAGATTGCCTTGACACCCCCAGCAAGGGGAAACCCTGAAGGAAGTACTTCCAGGGGTGCCTGCCTGATGGTGCAGGTTTAGGCTAGCCCTCCCCAGATCCCTGGCCTGAGTGGTCTCCTCCAGCCTCAGGAGGAGTCATGCTGCCAAAATACTTTTGCATCTCCAGCAGGGCCCGGAAGCGATGAGAGATGGCGTTCTTCTTGGCCTTGGGCATCTCTGCGTACCTAAGGGGTAACAGTAGCTGCTCAGAGAACAGGGAGCCTAGACCCCAGAGGATGCCTAGCTCCATTCCACCTCATCTTACCCCCAAATCACAGAGTCCAAAGCTCAAGTAGCAGCCCCCCCCCCCACATACACAAAGTGGGACAGGAGCCACCAACTCCTGGCAGTCTATTAATTAAAAAAAAAAAAAATGGAGTTTTAAGTTCCTCTGTTGATATTAATGAACATGGATGGATGTTAAATTTGCTCCAGTGTGGCTAAAACTTAAGGGAATCTGGGGAGAATTGGATGAGCTGCATGTTTGATCAGCTTTGTCATCTGTTGACAGGAAGCAGCAGAGCCTGACAGAACAAACACAGCAGTCCCCTCTAATGCCCTGAGTAAGTTGCAGGGGAGGATCCCAAACAGATATGGGCTACAGGCCCATGCTCCATGCCAAGAATCCAGGGAGGTGGGAATCCACACCCGACTGGTGGGCTTCAGACCTTTGTTATCCAACACAGTAGCCATTAGCCACATGTGGCTATGTAAGTTAACACAACTGAACACAAATAAATCCAGGCACTCAGGGTGTAGCTCAGTGGTAGAGCACTTGCCTAGCATGCACAAGACTGGATTTAATTCCTAGCACCATAAAAAATAAATACAATTCTTCAGTCTAACTGCATTTCAAGTGCTCCACAGCCGAACACGGCTAATAGCTATCCATCCAGACAGTGCAGATATAGAACATCTGCTGCCCCAGAGCATTCTTGGACAGTGCTGCTTCACAATGTCCTTAGCCCTGTGTGGCTTCTGTGAAGCCTCAGGCCAAGCTCCCTAAGGGCCTATCCAGCCTAGAAAGACTGATTCCAATACTGACCAATGTGTGCCACATAAATATGGGGAGGGGAGGTAGTGTGAAATACTGAGAATATATAGTATTATTTGAATAATTTTTCCAACCCAGACTGGAGAGTCAAAATTACCCCCACAAAACTGTTATATTTAAATATTTTGATAAGCCAAGGCCAGAGGGGGAAAGCCAGCAGTAGCACAGCAGCTCGGGGACAAGCTGGAGCCTGAGAGCTCAGGATACCCAGCTCCGCCCTGCTGTGGGCTGTGTCACCAGATTCCTTGTGCCTACCCCAGCAGAGCTGCCTACAGCTGGAACAGCACTCTCAGAACCTGCCCCGCCCATATCCGCATGACTGCACTTGGGCAGGGTGCCCACCCAACCCCACACCCCAGGGAAAAAATGGGCTCCTTACGTCTGCTCATATCCATCAGGCTGAAAGCAGGGGTCCCAGCCAAAGTCCCGGCAGCCTCGGGGCACCACAATTTGGCCCTGCCACAGAAAAGAGAGCACAGGTGTATAACTGGGCATGGAGGAGATGCACTAGGAGGCAGTTTGAATTTGGTTAGTTAATGCATGTGATTAAACCCAGTTCACTCAAAATGTAATTCAAGGGGCTGGGGCTCAGTGGTAGAGCACTTGTCTCGCATGTATGAGGTCCTGGGTTCAATCCTCAGCACCACATAAATAAAATAAAAAGGTGTTAAAATATTAAAAAATATGTAATTCAAGGGAACTAAGGTGCTTATAAATGTTTGTTGAAAATCTAAATAAAATGCAAATCAGGGAATACAGGGAGTAACCATGTATTCAATTGGTCCACTAACACCTCTGGGGCCAACATTTTCCTCTCTACACTTTTGATAAACTGTGACTTCATTGAAGAAAAATGATTCAACCTAAAAAAACTAATAGAAAACATTTTCTCCTAAGAGGAAGTTAAATAGCCAGTGATGTAGCTCAGTGCTAGAATGCTTACCTAGCAACCATGAGACCTGAAGTTTTATCCTTAGTAAAACAAAACCAAAAAAAGCAGCAGCAGCAACCACCACCACCAAAAAAAAAAAAAAAAAAAAAAAGAAGAAGAAAAAGAAAACAAGAGAGGCTCTAGCAGGTAAACACCCTAATAGAAAGTATTGGGCTGGGATTGTGGCTCAGCGGTGGAGCGCTCGCCTAGCACGGGCAGGACCTGGTTTCAATCCTCAGCCCCACATAAAAATAAAATTCATTGTGTTGTGTCCATCTACACCAAAAAAATAAAGAAAGAAAGTATTCAGCAGTGGCCAAACACATCCAGGAGCTTAAGTAATACTGGCTATAATAGTCAAATTCCAACATGAAAATGTTACAAAGAGAACAAATTATAATCCAATGTCGTAAAATGTCATTTTGCCATCAAAGTAAAAAAAAAAAAATCTTTTCAAAACAGAGCTAGGGATGCAGTTCAGTGGTAGAGTACTTACCTAGAATGCAAGAGGTCCTGGGTTCAATCCCTAGCATCACAAAACAAACAAACCAAAACAAAAAAAGGCCATGGTGGATGATAGAGATAAGCCACATAAATGCCAAGTCATGCAGAGCCAAGGGCAAATTCTGCTTCTGCTAGTGGGGAGCTGTGTGATCAGGCCACTTAGTGTACCATTGTGAGCCTCACTCCTGCAACACATGTTTTCTGAGCACCTACAGTAGACCAGGCAGTGTTCTTAGCACTGGGGTCACAGCAAACATATCCTTCCTGCCTATAGTGAATATCAAATAGGCATGACATGAGTAAATTAATCAGTGATTAACAAATGCAAAGTACCTTAAAGGGGACCAACAGGGTGTTGAGCTCCAGAACAACAGGATGGAGTGACATGGATGGGGAGCTCAGGGAAAGACATAGTGAGGAAGGGACCCTTTAGCCATATACAGGGTTGCAGCAACAACATTCCAGGTGTCAAACATAGCTGGCACAAAGTCTCTGAAACTCAGCACATCTGAGTTGCGGAAAGAACAACGTGGTTAACTTGCCACTGTGAACAATGTGTGTCTGGTGTGCCAATGTGGATAAGGAGTACAAGGTAAAAACAGAACAAGACGAAGAAACAAGGCTACTCAGGGGAGGTGGGGACTGCCAGGCAACCAATGCAAGAAACAGCTAAAGCCAGAAACAGGGAATTGTGGGGTCTGCAGTGACACAGGTCCCATCAACAGGTTCTTGAAGTGATGTCGTGTCACTGTAGCATTATTCACAATAGCCGAGAGGTGGAAGTAATCCAAAGGTCATCGACAGGTCAATAAAGAAAATGTAGTCTATGCATACGATGGAATATTTTTTAGTCTTAAAATCACAGGAAGTTCTGTCATGCTAATGAATGAACCTTGAACACATTATGCTAAGTGAAATAAGCCAATCACAAAAAGACAAATATTGTATGACTCTATTTACAGAGGTATCTAAAGTAATTAAACTCTTTAGAAGTAGTAAGTAGAATGGTAGATGCTAGGGGCTCGAGGACGGGAATTAAAGGGAGTTATTCAATGGGTAGTTTCAGATTTTTTAAAATGAAGTTGTGACAGGCATGGTGGCAAATGCCTGTAATCTCAGTGATTTAGGAGGCCAAGGCAAAGGATTGTGAGTTTGAGGCCAGTCTCGGCAATTTAGTGAGGCCTAAGCAATTTAGTAGATTCTGTCTCAATAAAAAGTTAAGGAAAAAGGGCTGGGGTTGTAGCTCACCAGTAGAGCACTCGTCTAGCATGCGCAAGGCCCTGGGTTGGATCCTTAACACCACATAAAAAAATAGATAAATAAATGTATTGTGTCCAACTACGTCTAAAAAATAAATATTTTTTTAAAAAGTTAAGGAAAAAAAAAGGGGGAGAGGGCTAGGGATGTGGCTCAGGGCTCAGTGGTAAAGCACTCCTGGACTCAATCCACAGTACCAAATAAAAATGTTCTGGAGATATGTTATACATATGAATATATTTAATGCTACTGTAATGTACACTTAAAAATGGTTTTGAACCAAGGATGTAGCTTAATGGTAGAGCACTTGCATACTTGCATAGCACACACGAGGCCCTAGACTTAATCCCCAATGCCACAAAAAATAAATAAAACCAGCTGTGATGGCACACGCCTAGAATCCCAGCTACACCCAGAAGCTGAGGAGGGAGGATCACAAGTTCCATATCAGCCTGGACAACCTAATGAGACTTTGTCTCAAAATAAAACTAAAAAAAAAAGGCTGGGGATGTAGCTCAGCAGTAGAGTACTTGCCTGGCACATGGGCCCTGGATTCCATTTCCAGCACTGCAAAACCCAAACATACAAAATAGGGATGGGGGATGAGGCTCAGTAGTCAAGTGACCCTGAGTTCAATCCCTGGTATTCCCCACCACCACCACCACCAAGCAGGGTAAAAGAAAATATCTGAACAATTCCCAGAAAAATGTCTGGATTTTATCCTGGCAGAGGAACTGAGCAGGGTGATGTGCTGGAAGGCATAGTCCTGTCATAGGGAAAGAATGGACAGGGTCTGGGGGCAGTTGACCAGCTGTGATAGAGGTGTAGACCTTGAGAAAAGCAGCTAAACCTGAGTCAGACAGGTAGGTATAAAGTGTTAAATGGCAGGCAGCTGGGAAAGGAATAAGTTAAGGTGAAGAATTAAAATTCTGAGCTGGGGTTTTGCTTGGTGGTGGAGTGCTTGCCTAGCATTGCATACAATGAAATGTATTTCACTTGAACTCTCCTAAGGTTCAATCCCTAGTATTGAGAGAGGGAGGGAGAATAAAAGGAATTCTATGCAAACATGAAGTCATAAAGGCTGTGAGACACTCAAGGTGGGCATTAGCCTTGGCAGATGGATAAGAAGATTTGGCCATAGAGAAGTCTGGGCTATAGATGTAGCTTCAGGAGCAGTAACCTTTAATTTGTACAATTGTTTCTTATAGAGTACACACTGCAGAGATTTGGGTGTACAAGGCCTCAGGAGTTGTTAGTCATTTTGTTTCCCTGAACTAGTAGCTTCAGAGACCACAGAGGTTTGGAGATTGACAACACTTCTAATGATAGTGCTCAGGGGTGCCTCATACAAGGCACTGATAACTAACTCTGGATACCACCATACCCTTCCAGGAAGGTCCAGCAAAAGACCCTAGATGTCCACTCAGGTCGCAACGCCCTCTGGTGGCCCATGGGAGAATGGCATCTGAGTGGGTACTTACTGAGGTTCGGCCCCTGAACAGGTGCACTGGCTCGCTGGGTTCCCCAGTGCTGAGCGCGAAGGTGCAGAGTGCATAGGCTGACTTGTCCTCAAAGCCGGTCAGAAGCTGATAGAGACCTGTGTGTAGATACTATGAGGGCTCAGTGCATCTGTGCTGCCCAGTCCCACCTGCCAAAGACCACCAAGAATGAGAAGGAAAGAGTCCCTCAAGTTTGGATTAGGTTGGGTGGGAGGCTGCCAAAGCTTATCCTAGCTCTCATAAGGGAGCTGAGACCCAGATCAAGATTCTGGGTATCCGCTTTCCTCTGGCATAATGAGACCAAGGCTTTTATCAAAGTCAGAAAATCAACCAATACAGTAGGACCTTATTTGATTTCCAGTGCAAAATGAACCATGTAAAGGCATTTTTGTCACAACCAAGGAAATCTCCAAACTAATTAGGTAATACTATGAAATTAACTGGGGTGTAACTCTCAAGTGGTAGAGTGTGTGTTCAGCATGGCTGAGGCCCTGGGTTCAATCCCTCGCACCAGTATGTATGTGTGTATGTGTACATAACACAGACACACACACACACGTAATTTTAGTTGGTTAATGTTTTTAATTTTTTCATCTTTTAGACATAAAGGCTGAAGAACTTAATAGATGTTATGGTGTTGGGAATTTGCTTTTAAATACTGGATTGAGAAAAAATTAGAGCAGGTTACAGATATCACAAAATAGGCCTTGTGCTGATAAGCTGGATATGGGGATACAGAGTTCATTATTTTACTATACTTTAAAAATTGACAAATAATTGAATATATTTATGTCTATTATTCTATTCTACTACTGTCCATGTTTGAAATGCTCCAGGTATAAAGTGTTTTTTAAAGCACCTAAAGAAGCACCAATTTGGTTTACACATGAGGGTGACAGGGTATGGATTGCTGGGGTCTAGGACAGGCAGATCCTCCGACCCATGAGCCAGGCCCTGGCTAAAGCAAGCAACTGCATGTAGTCACTAGGGTCAAGTCCCTCTTGAGATGCAGAATCAACCACAGCCCCTTTGTCCCTCAAATTCACAACACCTACCAGCCCCCACATCTCACTGCTCTCTGGAACAAATGAGTGTCAGTTTAAAGAAAGGAAAATAGAGATGGAGAGGCTCAATGCCAGGGACTACAGCCTGGGATTCCTGTTTACTAGTGGGGGACCACTCCCCTGAATTACCCTGATTCTCAGTTCCCAACAGATCCAAGGGAATAAACAATGGGGACAGTACCTTCAGGCTTTAACTTCTCCAGAAACCATTTTCTGCAAAAGAAATAAAAGAGTCAGACACCAGGAACAGATGGATCTTCTGCCACCCTCCCTGGGCTGTGCCCTACTGGGATCAGAACTCAAGAAAAACCACAGGGAAATGATAAAAACTGTCTCAACTCAAAACTAAGAGAAATAATCTAGGGGCAGGGGGTGTAGCTCAGTGGTAGAGCACGTCTTTAATACATTAGGCCCTGGGTTCAATCCCCACTAACAACAAAAAAGAGAGGGGATGGGTGGGGAGGAGAGGGAGGGAGGTGGGGGGAGAGAATGATTTAATAGGAAAACTATTTTTGCCTGGAGGCAAACAGGCAATGCACAGAAGAATTAATAACCAAACAAAGGCCTCAACCTCATTGGTAACAAGAGAAATGAAAACTAAGACTGCATGGGATAACATTCCACACTTCTCAAAGTGCAAAATATTAAAAAATCATAATCCTCAGAGCCAGTGAGGATGCGAGCATTATAATACTATAGACTAGAAATATATACAGGTACTATTGTTTTGGGAAGCAAACCAATCATCTAAATGTTAAAAACATTTATACCTCAAACCTAGCAACAGAACTATGTATATATGTCACCATGCATGGTGGTATATGCCTATAACCCCAATGACTCAAGAGGCTGAGGCAAGAAGATAGTAAGTTCAAGGATAGCCTCAACAAATCACTGAGACCCTTAGCAACTTGTTAAGACCATCTCAAAATAAAAAAAAAAAAAAAAAATTAAGAGTGCTGACAATTAACTCTGTGGGAAAGTACTCCTAAATTCAATTCCCAGTACTAAAAACTAAATAAATTTTAAAAACTGTGCTTATGTTCCTAAGCCCATGGAGGGGTCTTCAAATTGGAGTAATTGTACCTAGAGATACACAAAGACCTTCTAAGGGAGTCCAGGGCACTGGGTAGTTTCAAAGAAATAAATTTTCAGATCTCAACTTCCTTATTCTTTTCCTGAAACTGATATGCTTATGAATGTACCACTGAAATGGGTGGGTTCCCCTTTCCCATCTCCACTTACACAATCACATTCTCACACTGTACAAAAGAAAGGCACACCTCTCTATCCCTAATCCTTCTTTAGGATAAGAGAAATACTGGTGTTGATGTTGGACAGTGAATGATCTGCAATATCAAGTAACCAATCATTTGGCAGTTCCAGTGGTTTTGTGGTTGGGGCCCTAGAAAGGGTTTGGTGGGAACACTTACATATAGGGGCCAGGTAGCCCTCCGAGGGCGTTGAAGCACAGACAAGTATCCTCCACCAGGACAGGCCCCTGTACCTATAGCACAAGGACATGAATCCCTGAGACCTACAACCAGCAGTAGGCTCCATCCCTGCCCTGAATTTCCGGGCCACCCAGGCTGAAGTCAACCCAGCAGCCAGTTGAGATCTGCAGGAGATAAAGTCACAAGGCCCTGCCCTCTTTATCTTCATTTTAGAGATAGAGACACAAAACCATTGGCAAGTGTAAAGCTAGCTCCAGATACAGCAATGGAAGTGCTGGGATTCACATCCAGGCAATTCAACCCTTCATAACATTTCTCAGTTTGCAAAAATATGCAAGTGCAGGTGTGGATGTGTATAGGGAGAACATAGGGCTGAAATGTACATACTGAGAATCAGAAGAGGGTGGTTAGAGAGGGAATGTGTGTGTTTATGGTAGTCTTGGGGGATACCAGGCAGTTAAGGCTGAGACAGAATGGAAGTGTTTCAAAGCCAACATTTACTGATCCAAAGCTAGCTGGGCCTGAGCAGTTCCTTGAAATCACAACAGAACTGTGCCCTCTCTATTGTTCTCTAACTGTTCTCAGCAGGTACAACCTCAGGAACCACCACAACAAGCTACAAAAGAGGACTGAGTGTGGGACAAGCAGGACAAATGTAAGATAAGCACCTGGCGGGCCGCCTCCTGACACTTCTGTATGGAAATTTCATCCGGCTCTCCCTGGTATTCTGGCACTTTTTAGGGAAACAGACACAACACAGAGTCAGGTCAAAGGAAGACAGAGAAATGGAAACATCTTTTAAAAATAAAACAAAACAGAAACATACGGTCAATTTTCTGTGCCACCAAAGTGCATGGAAATTTATCTCCTAGGATCTGAATGACCTGTTCCAAAATGAAAGAACATTTATCACCATCTACTAATAATTCCCTGTTAGTACCTAAACTGTCACTGACCTTTCTTACCAAGTAACTCATGCATCACTCCTCTAAAGCTTACCAAGTCAAGTCCATGAGCCTCATCCCAACCTTCAGGGTCTAATTCCAGCAAATTAGCACCCTATCTTCTCACTCCTCTGTCCCCTCCTATTTCAGGCCTCTGCTTGTGCTACTCATCACCCTACCTTTTTGCTTCTCAATCCTTTCAGAAACCCTACCCATCCTCTCATACCAGGAATTCTCTGTCTGGGATTACCCAGAATTCAGGAGACCTGCGAACCTGGATGGGAAAAAAATATCCTTTATTCTCACTAGGCCCCCAATTGAAATTTTGTCCTCTTTTAATATCATAAATATAGACAACAAACCAAAATAGTGTTATCAGTTCCTGTGACTTTTAAACCTATTAAAATCACAGATGTTTTTGTACCATATTATAATTTTGCCTGTACCGCAAAATATTTACAGGGAAAGAAGAAAAAAGTCTTTACAATCTTTTTTTTTTTTGAGGTGCTGCGGATCAAACCCAGGATCTTATGCATGCAAGGCAAGCTCTACATCTCCAGCCTCCTTGGGATTTTAAAATCAAGGAAACTGCACACATTGCTAGATTGAATCCTTTAATGCATTAATAAAATACATGTAACAAGACCACAAATATTTTTAATATTCTGAAAACTGTACTTCAATATAGTTGATCTCCTTTGTAATCCTATGTATTTTTGTACACTTAAAACCATTTTCATAAGAAGGAGTCCATGGGCTTCATCAGTTTACCAATGGGGTTTCAAGAGATGAAAAGTCTTCTGTTCTAGATGAAGTTCAAGTCATCTTCTCTAGGGCCTTGTGAAGCCCAGGCAAATGCTGTACCACTGAGCTATACTCCCAACCCCAGACTGTTTTTGTTTTTGTGCTGGTGGTCAAACCCAAGACTTGCACATACTAGGCAAGCACTCTACCACTAAGCTACATCCTCAAATGTTATTCAAATGTAGAAGGCCATATTCTTAATCAGAGGCTTGAGGTCTGTATGAACTCCATTCTGGATGGCACTGTCTGTCTGTCTGACTGGTCTGGCCTCAGCAGGGTATTAGCTCCCAAGAAGGTCAACCCTGTCCTGACACAGAAGTGCCATCAGTCTCTATGTTACAGAGAAATGCAGGTTCCTTTACTGCCCTTCATTCATTTGTCTCAGACATATTTAGTAAGTGTAATCCTAATTGCCCACACATGACCTCATCTCCTTGGCCATGGCTAAGAAGGAGCAAACCCTTGACTCAAGTCCTGCCAATCACAGCTGATGTCTAGCAGAAGTCTCATTGTACCCTCCACCAGTAGGAAAAAAAGCTGAAAGACTCCAATAGAAGTAGGGATGGATATGCAAAGGAAACTATAAGGACAGGTCAGCCTTGAGAGCTCATCCTCAAGTCCCTTAGGATACCTTAGCATCATATTCCTACCAGACCTTTGCCTGTTACTTGTAGCCAAAGATGTTCTGTCAACCCCCAGAGACCTCTCAACTAGTTTAGACAGAAACTTTGGATCTACTGCTTCTTTTACTCCTGTTTCATAGTGCTGTGAAGCAGATGTCCCACACTATCCTGCTAGGACTCAGAAACAATACCCCAAAGTAGCAACTTGGTCCCTCAGAAGCAAGCCTCAAAAAGCAAAGTCTAGTCAAGCATGGTGGCACACTGACTCTGGAGATTGAGGCAAGAAGAACTAAGTTTGAGGCCAGCCTGAACAACTTAGTAATAACCTGCCTCAAAATAAAAAATAAAAAGGACTGGAGATTTAGAGCACCCCTGGATTAAATCCCCAGTACTTCATAACGATAATAATAATTATTGTTATTTTTAAAAAACTTAAAAAGCAAAGTCTCTGGCTTTCTATTCTGTCTCCAGCTCCCTTTTCTCCTCCCAAGGCAAGCCAGAGAAACTAGAAATGCTTCTCAATGTAGGTCATAGAAATTAAAACTCCTTCTCCCCAGAATGAGCTGGAAAGCCTAAAAATATTAATATTGCCCTGCCTTCCTGTCCTGAAGCTGGCCATAAAGAAATTCTCTGAATTATCTTGTCTGACAGTAGATGGTAAAACCCCCAATTCAGAGGGGGTCCTTGCCCATACAAGTAAGAAATGTTGCACACAGAGACCAAGAATCAGAACACGCTTTGTTCAGTCTATTAGCATGGGATTATATCCTTTTTGTCTAATCACATTTCCACACAGTTGTCCATGTTCCATCAAATCTAAGAATAAAAATAAGCCTCTTTCAGGCTGGGGGTATAGCTCAGCGGTAAAGTGCTTGCCTAGTAGTAAGCTGAAGACCGCCCTGGGTTTGATTCTTAGCACCAGAGGGGTTGAGAGAGAAGAATTCCCTATCTTTGGATCTTCATTCTGAAGACTCTGTTGTATATAAAACCTGGATTAAATACATTTTATGATTCTTTTTCGCTAACTTGTCTTTTGTTAGTTGTCAGCCATGACTCTTATAATGGGTGGGGAAAGGTTTCACTCCATCTCACAAAAGCCAAAACTGGCTAAGAGTGCTTCTGGATCGTAGTGGGGCATGGCCTGCTCAGTTTGAGTCCCCATCCACGCCCTCTCTGGATCCCTGCACCTCCAAATCAGCAGCAGCATCTAGATTTGTCTTAGAGATACAAGTGAGATCTCGGGGCTCCAGTGTGGGTCTAGATAAAAGAGGAGAACTTTGAGACTTGTGCTAAGGGCCTCGCCACTCCCCCGGACCCCGAAGCACCTGACCTGACGAGCTCTGAGGTCTGTCAAAACGTTCATCCCTTCAACTCTCAGGGAGCCCCCACTCCGCCGCGGTCCCATCCTGGTTCCCCAACGCCTTGCAGACGGTCAGGTCCTGACCCACGCTTCCCAGCGGGCCAACTCTTGTTCTCCCTCTACGCCTCCTCTGCATGCTTCCCTCGCCTGGAAACCCCATCTCAGCCCTATTCCCAGCCACCTCCCGGTCAGCTCCCCACACCCTCCTGGCACCTCCTCCAGCTTCTTGGCATTCCCCGTGACAAACACGATCTTCTTCCCGGTCAAGGAGGCTGCCATGACAAGCCCGGGTATCCGCTCAGCGCTCCCGGAAGCCCATTTGCCTGAAGTCGAAAGATACTTCCGGCTGGAGACGGAAGTGGGAGGCTCGGTTTCCGGCTGAATTGGGGATCCGGAGGCGTATCTCGGGTGGCGGGTACATCCTGTTTCGGGGTTGGAGAAACGCTGTGTCCGCCGCTGAGCGCCAGGAATCCTTGCACAGATGAATAGCTTCTTCCAAATGAGCAGCCTGAACGCCTGGCGCTAGTAGTGAGCAGAATGGCGCGGCACCTTTTGTTCCCAAATTATCGGGAGCTTCGGGTGCTGAGTTTGAGGGACCACGGACCCGGGCACCAAGAAAAGCAAAGAACCAATGTGGCTGCTGATGAGCTGCAGCCCTGTGCCCTGGGCGGCTGTCACTCTTTGTGGGCTCAAGTCTGTCCCAGAGAACCGGCTCCTAGGCAATGGCTCCCAAGCCCTTTTTCCTTACTTTACTTTCAGCCCCACTCCTTGAGTTCCTCTTTGCCGACCATCTCAGAAATGCTTACTGTGAACTTAACCTTGGCTCAACCTAAAGCAAGCCCGTTTTTTTGTTCGTTTTGTTTTGTTTTTCCCCATCTCGCAGTGTTGGGAACTCAGTATTTTGAATCTCTGGTTCTCTCATCTCTCCAGCCTTTCAAACCCATCATTCATTTTCCATGGCCACTGCACTGCAGACAGAGGTATCCTCCTGTCTCAGTCTCCAGAGTGGCTAGGATTACAGGCATGCACTCTGCGTCTGGCTGGTCTGTGTTGATAACGAATTCCTCAGGTTATTCTGATGCTCATTAGAGTGAGAACCACTGCTTTGATTGGTGACCTGCTCTCTTTATTGAGGCAGAAACCCCTAAACATTTATTCTCTGCAAAGCCCTTAGAGGAGTGGCTTTTGGGAATTTTGGAGCAGAGGAGGGTCTGGAAGACATCAGTTAGCCCAAGCATCCTGAGAAGACAGGTCCCACACCATCCGCATGCCTTCCTTGGATCTCAGCGAGCTCAAGTTTCAGCTTCCCTTTATTCACTCCCCCCAACCACTACTCCCGGTTTGGTACCCAGGATTGACCCCAGGGGCACTTAACCACTGAGCCACATCCCCAGCCCTTTTAAATGTTTTTTTTTTTTTGAGACAGGGTCACAGTAAATTGCTTATGGTCTTCCTAATTGCTGAGGCTGGCCTTGAACTTGAAATCTTCCTGCTTCAGCCTCCCTAGTTACTGGGATTACAGGTGTGCACCACCATGCCTGGCAACTTTTATTTGCTTTTATAACACTGGCCTTCCCTAGGAATACTAATATCCTTACTGCAGATTCATAATCATTTGTGTTTTTATTTTGTTTCTTCCTTGTTATGGTTTAAGTATGAGGTGTCCCCCCAAAGTTCCTGTGTTAATGCAGAAAGAAAAATGATTGGATTATGAGATATATAACCTTACAGTGAATTAATCCATTTGATGGAGTAACAATTTGAATGGGTTCCTGGTGTTAACTGCAGGCAGGTGGGATGTGGCTGGAGGTGGTGGATCACTAAGGGTGTATGATGGGGATTATATATTATTTTTCCCTGGCTTCTTGTGATCATTGTTAGAACTCAACGGAAAAAAAAAAAGACCACTGACTCCAATTAAAATCAAATTAAAGCAAGCTTATTATTTTGACCGGCGGGCTGCCTCTCCCAACATAAACCACGGGAACAAGACAGCACCGCAGTTTTCTTGCAGCCCAGCTTTATAGCCCAGAAAGTTACACAAGGGGGGAGGGTGTTACAGATAACAAAACTCTGACAAGCATAACACAAAGGCTAGTTTATATTTTTGCTGGCCTGACATCAGAACTTATGAAAGTCATTAGAGCCTCAGAGAGAGTTGTTATCTGGTCAGGGAAAGCCATGCATGGGTGAGTTCAAGGCACAGGCAGGCAGGCATTCCAAGCAAGTTCAGAATTTGCAGTAATTTATAGTAAAGCCGAAATTAGCTTTTATGTCTTTGTAGCGAGACGGTTCCCAATTTTAAGAGGGAATCAGACTGGGTTTATCAATCACCATTTCCTGTCATGGACTGAGCAGCTTTTCCTCCACACCTTCCACCATGATGTTCTGCCTAACTCAGGCTCAGAGCAATGGAGTCAGCTGACCATGGACTGAACCTCTGAAACTGGGAGCCAACATAAACTCTTCTTCCTCAAAATTGTTCTTGTTAGGTATTTTGGTCACAGTGATGAAAAGCTAATACCTGTTCTCCAAAAATCATCATGGTAAGCCACATATGTTTTTGTTTACCACTTTATCTTTGTGTGTGTGTGTGTGTGTGTGTATGTGTGTGTGTGTGTGTGTGTGAGAGAGAGAGAGAGAGAGAGAGAGAGAGAGATAGATAGATACTGGGGATTGAACACTCAGGAGCACTTGACCACTGAGCCACATCCCTAGTCCTATTTTGTATTTTATTTAGAGACAGGGTATCACTGAGTTGCTTAGTGCCTCACTTTTCCTGAAGCTGGCTTTGAACTCATGATCCTCCTGCCTCAGCCTCCTGAGCTGCTGGGATTACAGGTGTGCCCCACCACCCCCAGCACATGTTGCCAACTTTTATCCTCTACTCTGCCCCAGTTAAGGGGAATTAAATCCAGAGCCATATGCTCTTATCGTTGAACTACAACCCCAGCCTCATTGCCATATATTTTTTTTCAAATTCCTTGCTTAGCCCTGCTCCTATCTTATGTCATTATATGCACATATCCTGCTATAATAGCAAATTCCCAGTATAGTTGCTTTTTTTTTTTTTTTAATTCCCAGTACCAGGATTGAGGCCAGGGGCTCTTTACTATTGGGCTACATCCCTAAACTTTTTTTTTTTTTTTTTTTAATTTTGATCTAGGATCTCGCTAAATTTCACCAGAGTTGGTCTCAATTTTGCAATCCTGCTCCACCATCCAGGGTAACTGGGATTATAGATGTGATACCCCATTCAGTTAGTTCTTTGCTTTTTAAAAAAAATTTCATTTCACAACCTGTTCTATGTTTTGTTTTTTGTGTGTTTTGGTATTGGGGGTTGAACCCAGGGGTGCTTAACCAATGAGCCACATTCCCAATATTTTTTATTGTTTATTTTGAGACAGGGTCTTGCTAAGTTGCTGAGGATAGTCTCGAACTTGAAATCTTCTTGCCTCAGTTGCTGGGATTGCAGCTATGCACCACCATGCCCAGCCTGTCCTGTTTTGTTTTTAATTACTGAGGTATAATTTGTCCCCAGTTTTTTTTTTTTTTTTTTAGGTCCTGAAGACTTAACAGGAAATTTTAATTCCCTGTGGGAATACCAAATTCTCACTAGGTAACACTGGATTACTAATTATTGTATAACCTAATAAAACTAATTTTATTTTGGATAGTTATAAAGTTGCAGGTCTGAGAAAGAAAATACTTCACTATTTAAATGAAAAATTTGTTCTCTCCCCTTCTTCCCCTTTTAAAGAAATCAAATGTCACAAGTACAGCCAAAACTCTGCTGATTAATCCCACCCCATTCCCTTCCCAGAGGTAACTTCCATTCCAGTTGATGTGTGACATCCTAAGTATATTTTTGCATTTTTTCCACATTTGTTTGTTTATATAAATAGTGTGGTATATTTTATTAATTAACTTACTTATTCTGATGCTGGATATTGAACTTGGATTCTCACACATGCCAGGAAGCATTTTGTCACTGAGCCACATTCTCAACCTTGGTGATTTAAAAAAATCGTGCCTAAATGTTTCCTACTTTTGTGATAACTTCCCAATAATTAACATCATGAGTGTTTTAATTTATTTTATTTTACTTATTTATTTAGTGATTCTGGGGATTGACCCCAAGGGCACACCACCACTGAACTATATCCCTGGCCCTTTTTACAAGGTCTTGCTAAATTGCTGAGGCTGGCCTCCAACTTGCTGTCCTCTTGTCTCAGCCTTCGAAGTTGCTGGAATTATAGGAATGCATCACCCCCTCCCGCCGCTGGCTCTCCTATAACTTGTTTTTTTTTTTAATTTGTTTTGTACCAGGAATTGCCCTTTTTTTGTTATTTGTTTTTTGAAACTGGGGATGGAACCCAGGGTTTGCGAATGTGAGGCAAACGCTTTGCTGCTGAGCTACTCGCAGCCCTGTACCAAGGATTGAATTGGGGGGGGGGGGGGCTCTCAACCACCGAGCCCATCGCTAACCCTTTTTAAAAATTTTAGAGACAGATCTTGCTAAATTGCTTAGCGACCTTGCTAAATTGCTGGCGCTGGCTTTGAATTCGCAATCCTCTTGTCTCAGCCTTCCACGCTGCTGGGATTATAAGCATGAGCCACCACGCCGGGCTGTATAACCCGTTTTAAAATATAGAAATTAAAGCCTGTGCGAAGTGTCCAGCCCTTGCGCCTCACGGAAGAGAGGGCGGAGCCTAACGTGGGAAACGGGAGAGCCTTATGGGCAGTGGGCGGGGCCTGGGTGATACGGGCCTCACCGTGGACGCGCTGGTGTTCTGCTGGGAGGTCGTCGTCATGGTGGCGCCCGTGGTGTATCTGGTGGCGGCGGCTCTGCTTGTCGGCCTTATACTCTTCCTCACTCGCAGTCGTGGCAGAGCGGTAGCAGGTAGGAGGTGCCGCCGCTCCAGGACCGGTGGGGCCTGGTTCTCGGGCCTTCTCAGCCTCGGTAGGCCGTTGCCTACGGCTGCTGCGCATGCGCCGGCCTGCTTGTGAGGCTGACGCGGAACTCGGGCGCGGGCTAGCGAGTAGACGGGAACCACCGAGCCTCCTTGATAGGGAACTGCGTGGCCTCGCCCCTACACTTTTCTCCCAAACCTGAGAGCCTCGCCCCTTGGCACTCTAGACCTCCACACCCAGGGGGCTTTGGACCAGTTCCCATTGCGCCCATAGGGAGGCCACAGTGTTTCCCATCTCTCAAACTGGCTCCCTGTTGGGTGCCAGGGAGGAGACTTCTGGGTGTTTTCTGCCTACCCGGAACTGAAGGGAGCTGGAGGTGGCTCAAGAAAACTCTCTGAAGCCCTCTCCTTCCCCGCCAAGTAGAGCAGCCGTGCTGCCTTGGCCTTCCCTCTGCCATGCTCTGCACACTGACCAGGCCATATGGTTGGCCAGGACACAGAACAGATAAGTTGTCAGTTCCCCTCCCCGCATCTCTTGTCAACATAGGAATTTGTATATGTGTCTCTTCCCTGCTCCCCGAACCCACCAGCTATTGAGAGCACTTGGGTGCTCCAAGTTCAGGGGAGAGAGAATCTGAGGTATGGCACATATCCAACAGATTTTCCAGGGAGGGGAGACTCAGCCTCTGCCTGAGAAATGTAGAGACTGAGTCTGGGGTGTCAGAGATGGTGAGAAATGACACACACCAACTTTGGAATGGAAGTTATCTCAGGGGAGGGAATGGGGTGGAATTAACCAGCAGAGTTCGTACTGTATCTGTGACATTATTAAGGGGAGGTGGAAGACCAAATCTTTCACTTAAATAAATTGTGTTGTATTTTTTTTCCTTCAGACCTGTAGTTTATAATTATTTTAAATAACTATTTTAAAAATAAAATCACAAAGGGCTGGGGTTGTGGCTCTGCAGGAGAGCGCTCCTCTCGCACGCGCCAGACCCTGGGTTCGATCCTCAGCACCACATAAAAAAAAAAAATGAGTGAAATAAAGGTATTGTGTCCAACTACAACTAAAAAATAAATATTTAAAAAAAATCATGATAGGTGGTGTTAAAAAATAATTGAAGTCCTGAAATGGGCATTTGATGAAATCAGGGTGGATTTCTCTCAAGCTTGCAGGAGAGGTGAGCCTTGAGGGGAGAGAAGTATCAAAATCAGGCATGAGGGAAGGCTTGAGCTTACTATATTGGACCAAGGCGTGGGCCCAGTTGTAAAGGCCTTGGCAATCAGACTGTGAAGTTGGGGCTTTGTGCAATGGGCAGTGAGAGTCTGGGAGGAGGTTGAACAGAGGAGGGTGAGGCGTCTAGGATACTGCTTCCTGGGCTATCAAGGGGGCTGAGCTGCTCCAACTGTCCTGGTTCCTCTCTTCCTGAAGCTGGTCCAGGGTCACTGCACAATGAAGAGGATCCAATAATAGCAGACCAGGTGGCCCAGTATCGGCCACTGCAGACTGAGGAACAGAGGGCTGGAGGCAGGCCCCGGCGCAGGAGGGACCTGGGCAGCCGCCTGCAGGCCCAGCGTCGAGCCCAGCGGATAGCCTGGACAGAAGTGGATGAGAATGAGGAGGAAGCTGTCATCCCAGGTGAGAGGGGCCCAGCTTGGTAGTGAAGAGGGCTGGATTGATGATGGGGTAAGTGGGAGAGTGGAGTGTGAAGCCACAGTGTAAGAGAGACATGGGGTAGAGTGAATGGACACTTAGGACCCAGACTTTGGTTCTGGTCTCTAACTGGTCCCTAACTATTCTATTTGGTTAACCTCCTCTTCCTTCATCTTGGCTTTCAGTATCTAAACACAGGAGGTCAGGGGCCTTTAGACTGACCCTGAGAGTTCCGTAATCCATCTATTATATCCCAGTGCCCTTCTTGGAGTGCAGTTACCTGTAACCCCAGAAGAAGGGTTTGGGAATAGAAGCATTCTCTTGACATAGAGGTCTCCATATCCCTGGTGCCAGGAGATCAGAGCCTTTAGGATTGTAGGAAAGAATGCCTTTTCTCTAGTACTTAAGTGCTGGTTTGAGCCTGAAGAAGGGATGTCAGGGCCTTTCCTTGAAACTGGGGCATTTGGGACTTTTGCCTTGAATCCTTGAGGTTAGCCCTTTGGACTCAAAAAAGGTCCTCTGTTGTGTCATCCCTCTTGTCTCAGATACCCATACTGCTGATAAAAAAGCATCTCTTTAACTTTAAGCTGGCTCTTGGGTAGTCAGGGGGGTGGGACTGTATGTTACCTTGGTTCTATTAGGACAAAGGGATAATCCTGGCCAGGGTCTAAGCCCTGAATGCTTAATAATTCTTGACTAGAATGAGAGAATTTTGGATTTGAGACTGGGATAAATTTCCCCACAGGGCTGTCCTTTCCTGGAGGTGGCACCAGGATAGAAACCAAGGTCCTCTGCAATCTCATCACCACCTGTGATCCTCAGACACCCAGATATTGGCATCTCCCTTTTACATGTGTACATTATCTAAAGTCTCATCCTTACAGATGCTCCCACCCGCAGCATAACGCGTGCGCGCACACATGATTTTATGGTAGATGCCTCAGTATGGCAGAGCTGGACTAGTAACATTCATAGGTGGGTGGATGGGGTTCATTCATGAGGAGAGTGACAAGGGGTAGGATGAATCCCCTCTAGCTAGGACCTGAACTATCTTCCTCTAACCATACCCAGCCCAGGAGGAAGAAGACATTGAGAAGCCAGTGGAAACTCATCTGACAGGGAAAATTGGAGCCAAGAAACTACGGAAGTTAGAGGAGAAACAAGCTCGAAAAGCCCAGCGTGAGGCAAGCAGGAGGGATGGGGTGTAGCTCTGGGAAATGGAAAAGGGCCACTGTTCGGCAGACTCTATCCTTGGGCTCCTTTTACATTGGACTGCTGAATACTACTCTGTCTCCTGCAGTCTTGGTCTTTGCCCTGGCCCAAGTACTGCCTTCCCCTACCTGTCTGGAAGTGGGGCAAACTGTATGGGGTGCCCCATGAAGGTTTTGTCTTTAGGCAGAGGAGGCTGAACGTGAAGAGCGGAAACGTCTAGAGTCCCAACGTGAGGCTGAGTGGAAGAAGGAGGAGGAGCGGCTTCGCTTGGAGGAGGAACAGAAGGTGAGACTGAGAGTGATCCTGTCCTCTGACCCCTGACTAGCCAGCCATGCTTCCCATGCAACTCCCTAGCACCTCTATCCTAGAAGAAGGGCTGTGGACCAGGCATATGGGCATACCCTGATTTATTTTGTTCCTGGCCTCTAAATGTGGAAGATGTTGCTAAAAAGCAGAGCTTGAGTTGGGATTTTGTTTGTTTGGTGGTTTTTTTTTTTTTTTTTTGGTACTGGGAATTGAACCCTGGGGAACTTAACCACTGAGTTACATCTCCAGCCCTTTTAAAAAATATTTTATTTAGAGAGAGTGTCTCATTGAGTTGCTTAGGGCCTTGCTAAATTGCTGAGGCTAGCTTTGAATTTGCAATCCTCCTGCCTCAGCCTCCCAAGCCAACTGGGATTACAGGCATGCCTTACTGTGCCCAGTTTTTTTTTTTTTTTTTTTTGTATTGGAGGTGGAACCCAGGGGCATTCTACCACTGAGCTTCATCCACAGTTCTTTTTTATTTCAAGACAGAATCTCACTAAGCTGCTAAAGGTCTTGCTAAATTTCTGAGACTGGCCTCAAACTTGCAATTTTCCTGCAAAAGCTTCCCAAGTTGCTGGGATTACAGGCGAGTGCCACTGTGCCTGGCCTGAGATGAGGATTCTTATTTATATAATTTATAGAGTATGCCTGGAACATTTGAGAAACATTGAGGTAGTCAGAGTGGCTGGAATATAGTAAGCACGGAGGAGAGGGAAAGGGTCAGAGGAAATGGGGCAACTTACCAAGACCCTGTCTCAAAATAAAAGGAATGGGGGTGTAACTCAGTGGTTGAGCACCCCTAGGTTCAATCCCCAGTGTCACAGAAACAAAACAAATCAAAAAAGACTTGTGCTCAGCCTCCAAGGGTAGGGAGTTACGCTTTATCTGCCTGAAAGGAGTACCCCTCAGGAATTAGGTAGAAGTACTTTTATTTATTTATTTATTTGTTGTGCTGGGGATTAAACCCAAGGCCTTGCACATGCTAGGCGAGTACTCTACCATTGAGCTACATCCCCAGTCCTTTTGTTTGTTTTTTAGCACTTTCTTTCTGTTGCTGCAAGGTGCTCTAGGCTCATCGTCTTATATATTATTATTTGCCCTGGCTTTAGCTTCATGTTTTTTTTTAAACTTTTTTTGTGGTGCTGGGGATTGAATACATGGCCATGCACATGTTAGGCAATCATTCTTCCACTGAGCTATATCCCCATTCCTTTTCATTTTTTATTTTGAGATAGGCTCTTACAAAGTCCAGTTTGTTCTCAAACTTGTGATCCTTCTACCTTGCCCCTCCCCCAAATATCTGGGATTACAGGCATGAACCCTATACTTGGTTTTAGCATCATATTTTTAAAACACTTTTCTGTACGCTCTGTTTTCTGAGTTTGGGTTGTATTGGGAAGAGGCTGTTGCACTAGGTAGTGACAGTAATATGGATGTACTGAAGAGTTCTGTGGAAGTTAGAGAAAGAAGTGGTAGATGGCACCTCATTTCTGACCAGGGCAGCTGGCCAGGTAGTTGTGTGATTCACCAGCCAGAGACCTAGCAGGAAGACCAGATGTGGCAAGTAGACCACAGGGTGGGTTTGGTACCTGTGAGATGGCCCAGGTGGTATGTCATTGGGCAGTTATATATTTGGGAGGAGAGATTTGGTTGGGAGTACAAATGTGACAGTCACTGGTGAGGAAATGGTTGTCAATGCTGGGCCTGGGTGACGTAGCCCAGCCAGAGTAAAGGGTAGAGCAGGGGCTGGGCTGAATGATGAAGGAGGCAAGAATGAATGTCTAGGGAGCAGGAGAAAATCCAGGCAAAGGTGGGGGTGTGGAAATTGAGTGAAGAAAGAGGGGATAGTTGGCTATTCCCATCGCCATTGAGGGATTTGTGAGATGGAAGTCAGAGGTGAGACAACAGCAGGAGATGTTTCAGTGGAGCTTGGTACATAAAAACCAGATTGGAGTGGGCTGGCTGGTGCATGGGTGGTGCGGAAATGGAGCCTGATATTTGTTCATGAAGTTTGGACATGATTGTGGAAGGGTTTTCAAGAGATTTTTACCAAGTAGATCTCCTGAGTAAGGAGGGTACCATTTGTCTGAATGGTAATGGACTAAGACAAGAGGGGTCGGGTTGGGGATCTCAAAGGAGCTCTGTCCCTGAGAAACTGCTGAGCTGTATGCCCTGGTACCCTACTGGGCATCAGGGACCAGAACAGGATAGGTGGGCATCTACCCCAAATACCTGACTCTTTGTCCTCTGTGTCCTCAGGAGGAAGAGGAGAGAAAGGCCCAGGAAGAACAGGCCCGGCGGGAGCATGAGGAGTACCTGAAACTGAAGGAAGCCTTTGTGGTGGAGGAGGAGGGTGTGGGTGAGACCATGACTGAGGAGCAGGTAAGCCCACCACCCCTGAGAAGCCTGTGTCATAAGGGCAGCCTATGTGAGGCTCAGGGTTGACCACTTCACTGGCAAACACCTCCAATTGGGATATGAGAGTTTGTGTGAGTGTTAATAGGCCTTTGCAGCAAGAGGCCTTGTCCTTGGTGGAGAGTGATGCCCCCAGACTGTTCACCTGGGAGGATCTGCTGCTCATGCAGGGCAGTAATCGGGCAGGCACACAGACAGGCTGTAGGCAGGTGAGCAGAGAGTACACACACAGTGGGGGTCAGGCATGGACTTCTGTGACTCCACCCTGATTTTTCTATTCCTCTAGTCCCACAGCTTCCTGACAGAATTTATCAACTACATTAAGGTAAGAAGCCACAGAACAGTACAGGTGACACCCTATCTCATGCATGTGCATGCACACCTTTTCAGACCTGAGCAGGGTTTGAGGATGACTTATTCAAGCTTATGCAGGAGTGGGCATGGGGCCCAGTGGGTCTGAACTATTGAGTCCTGGCTAGGGGAGTCCCTTCTCCTTGGACCCAGAAGAGGGAGAAGGACCTGTGTGTGTGTGGGAGGTGCAAACCTCTGATAGCTTCCTCACGCTGGAGTTTGACAGTTCCCCTGCTCTTCAGACCCCACGCTTAGTGAGTCACTGTGTTTTCAAGTCTCTTCACGTGTGTTTTCTGCCAGTTCTGTCACACCGAGTTAAAACAAGCATCCTCTGCCATGTGCTCCTGACTGGGAACTTGGGTCTTCCAAGGGAAACAGGATGACATTTCCCTTGTAACCTGGAGTAGGGTGGCATTGTGTTGATTCCATCTGCAGCCACCATGCAGTCCACCCTGATGCTGCTTCAGGTTGCATAAGCACATCCTGATCTGCTTTGCTGCTAAGCAACTTCTCTCCCACAAAGGATGTGGTGAGGGGAGAGGTTTTTAAGTGCAGCTCAGAGGTGCAGAGGCGGCTGAGGGAAGGAGTGCAGAGGGAGCGGGGGCGATAGTGGGGGTGGTACCAGGGGCTGCCAAGGAGTTGGGTCTTGCATAATCCTCCTCCATCACTCCCAAAAGAGCAGGGTTTAGACACCTCCCAACAGTGAGAGTCTGGGCATGGGCCTATGGTCTGGGGTCTCTAGTAGGGAGAAATGCTGAGAGCTTGAAGCATTTTTCTTTGATGGAGCCCTTTCTCAAGCCTATCACCACTTGATCCAGGTTTATTGCCCTGGATATATCTCTCCCACTGTCTTGCTACTATTAAGAACTTGTCTCCATCCACCCAGTGGGCAGCGACAGTCCTAAAATGCCTCCTCTTGGACCCTTTCCAGGTGAATTTAGATGGGGGGATCAGCTTTAGCATCCCCCTCACCACTGTATAGACTAGAAGAAAGTCCCCAAGGCAGTTCTGGTTCTTGCTTTCAGTGCTTCCCTGGAGGTTCCATTCTTGGGGATTCTCTAAACTCTTCTGGAGCTTATGAGTTCTTAAGCCTACACTGGGTGATTCTCCTGAAGTTGCTGTCTTGCAGCAAGAAGGGGGACTTCTGAAATTCAGTCCACCCACCTTCCTCCCCACTCCAAGGGGTTGGGCTCATTAGACTTAGGATTTTAAAACCAGAGGAAGGTTTCTGCACATAGCATAGTTTATAGAGATTTAGGGATAGTTTGCTCTTGTTGTTCCATTCCACTTTCTGACCATGACTGGGTTTGTTTATTTTTTTTTAATACACTTTTAGCTCCAGCAGAACTTCAAGCCAGGTCTTTGAGGACCACGTGGTATGATTTGTGGTCAAGTTCTGAGCTATCACCAAGAATCCAGTGCCTGTTCCCTGTTTTTTAGACAGAGGCTAGCTGACCAGGTCACCTTTTGCTTGCCCACTCCCTGGCCTTCCTGCTTGCACATACAGTTTGGCATTTCAAATAAGTCACATGTCATCTGCAATCAGGGAGGTTCACAGTGTCACTCCTCCCCCAGCTCATTTGCTTTGGAATATTCACAGAAATGCAGGGGACCACCTTCTCTTCAGTCACATGCTCTCTCTGGGGGAGGCAGGGGCAGATGCATGTGTATACCCAGCTGTGGATTCTTGGCTGCACCCTGGAAACTAAGGTTTACTGAGGGTGTGTGGGCAGCACGTGGAACATGCCATGGAGCTGCACATGGAAAGCACTTGTCAGTGTTAGTGACAGTTATTTTGAGGGTGGGCTCCGTGCCTCAGATGGTGTGAAGAAGATGGGTGAGGATAAGTTCAGCATGCCAGAGTTGTGGGGGGATCCAGGGTGAGGGGGTAGGAGCAAAGGTGAGGCAGGAATGAACCCCCACTGGGTCTCCTGAGAGGTCCTGGCTCATTGGGGGTCTTTGTCTCCTCTTTCCTTATTCATGTACTTCCTTTCTCACCAGCTGGGCTGTGCGCTCAAGGGTAGGAGCTGTGTTTTGTTTACCATTATTTCCCTGCATCCTTTCAGTGCCTTGTTAGGTCCTGAGCAAACGAAAGTATTGGTAACAGTTCTTAAAAATAGTGGCTGGCACAGTGGTGCACACCTGTAATCCCAGCTGCTTGGGAGGCTAAGACAGGAGGGTCTCCAGTTTGAGGCCAGCCTGGGCACTATAGCCAAACCCTGCTTCAAAAATTAAATTTAAAAAGGGATGGGATGTAACTCAGTGGTGGAATACTTGCCTAGCATGTGTGTGGTCCTGGGTTCACTCCCTAGTACTATTAAAAAAGAGCTTTTTAGGGGCTGGGAATGTGCTTCAGTGGTAGTATATTCCCAGCAGTGTGGGGAAGACACCATCAACAAAAATCCTTTTTGAAAACCGTAAATCAGAATGCAGACCTAAGAGGATATCTCCATGTTAGAAGGGATTAGCCCAAACTCATTCTCTCTCCCATTTTCTCCCTCCCCTGTAGCAATCCAAGGTTGTACTCTTGGAAGATTTGGCTTCCCAGGTGGGCCTACGGACTCAGGTAAGCTCTGGAAGGTTACCTGCTGTGTGGAGGCCATGGCGTCTGTATGCAGCAGGGCACCTGCTGTCATAAGAATGGGAGAGTCCTGAGGCCCCCCTCCAACCTGCCCCCAACCTAGAATGTAGAAGTCTTGGCACCACAGGAATCCTGCATTTTTACTAGATGAAAGAACAAGCAGAAAAGAAAAGAAAAAAATTCAAATCCCATCCCTCCACCAGCCCAAATCCAGTTACCTTGACAACTCTTGCAGATAGGCTGTTTTGTGGCCTAACATCTCCACTGCTCCCCTCCCACCTGAAGAGAGCCTCTGATGGTGGTCTTGCAGGACCCAGGACTAGAGCCTCTTCTCCTCATGGTCCCTCCAAAGGAGAAGCAGATTTATATGGGATAGCTATGAGAGTGAGGGAAGGAGGTTTGGCTGTAGCAGGAGGGAAAATGTGTTTTTTTTCCTTGGGACAGTAGCACCTGTCTTTGCTCTGAGAAGCATTCTCTTCATAGGACACTATCAACCGCATCCAGGACCTGCTGGCTGATGGGACTCTAACAGGTAAGAGGATTGAGATTCAGTCACTACAGAGCCTGGCCTGGGGAGTATCTATCCACAGTGGGCTGTAGGGATTTGTTGTAGAAACAGGATGAGCATTCTGAGCAGTGGTGGGTGTTCAAAGAAGGGCACTGAATGGTTGGATGCAGTTACAAGGACATGCCGAGGCTTAGAGCTGGCTGTGGAGTTATGAGGACAGGCAGCAAAACCTGATTTGACTCACCTAGCCAGGATTGGATATAATCAGAAAAGGTCAGGCAAGCAGGGGACCTGGAGGGCTCTTAGCTAGTTGTGAAGGAATGGGTGGATATTCTTAGATCAGATTGGGAGGTCCCAGGAGGACTCAGCCCCACAACCTGCATATCCTTACAGGTGTGATTGACGACCGGGGCAAGTTCATCTACATAACCCCAGAGGAACTGGCTGCTGTGGCCAACTTCATCCGACAGCGGGGCCGGGTGTCCATCACTGAGCTTGCCCAGGCCAGCAACTCCCTCATCGCCTGGGGCTAGGAGCCCCCACAACCCTGCCAGCCTGACCTCAGCCCTGCCTACTTGGACTCAGAGCTGGTGTGGCCTACCTGGCAGTACATCTTCATCTCTCCTCACCATCCTGAGGCAGTGATGGAATGTGGCCAGGAAGTTGTAAATTAAAGGCCTGTGAGCACTGCTGAGCTTGGTGTGGCTTGGTGTGACAGAAGGCCTGGCCTGGGATCTCAGATGAGCTGGTGAAATTTAAGCCTCAGCAGATATCTGTGGGGGTTGAGGATGTAGCAGTGGTAGAATATTTTCCTAGCATGTGCAAGGCCCAGGGTTTGATCCCCAGCACCACAAAATGTTGGGCTGGGGATGTGGCTTAGTGGTAGGATGTTTGCCTGGCATGTGTGAGGCCCTGGGTTCCATCCCTGGTTCTGAGAAAAAGAAAACAGAGAGGTGGTGAGAGTCCCTTGCAAGCTGGCAGAATTCCAATTCTTACCCATTTCTTCATAAAAAACTTACTGTGGCCAGGCACATGCCTGTAATCCCAGCGGCTCAGGAGGGTAAGGTAGGAGGATTGCAAGTTCAAAGCCAGTCTTAGCAGTGGTGAGGCGCTAAGCAACTTGGTGAGACCCTGCTTTAAATAAAATACAAAATAGGGCTGGGGACGTGGCTCAGTGGTTGAGTGCCCCTGAGTTCAATCCCTGGTACCCCCCCAAAAATAAAAACAAAACAAAAAACCAAAACTTATTGTGCACTTACCATGTTTCTTTGCAAGCTCAGTGCTGAATGCCTAGAAGAGCTCTTTCTCTAATCCCTTAATCCCCCTCAGTGAAAGTGAAGAAAACTCTTAGGCCACACCTCTCTTAACCAGAGAGAAAAATCTTGCCATGTCAAATACAGGATCCCTAAGTAAAGGGTGAGAATCCTGGAAGAAGAGTTAATGATTAGTTCCAAGGATAGAATCTTAAGGAGCAGTAGCCTTTGAGCTGGATGGAAGAAGTCAGTGAAAGAGAGGATAGCCAGTTGTTTTGGGGCAGGTATAGGAAAAGGAGGGCTTTGTGTGAGCTGGATGTGATTGTGCATTGAGGAGATATTGTTCATATAGCAAATCACATGAACTCAGCTCTATATCCTTGATTTAAAAAGTTTAAATGGTGTGGGTGATCCACCCACTGGTGAATGTGAGGACCATATGCTCAGGAGTGGGTGTGAGATTGGAAGATGTATGTCTCCTGCAGGGTCAGTCATTCTGGTTCCTGTGGACTGTTCATAGTATGAACATTCTGTGGTGCTAAGGGTGAGACACGTGTTTAATTGTATTTTTTTTTTTTTTTTAATTCAAGTTGGCCCCTAAGCACAAGCCACCTATTTCCTCTGGTGTTTGGTGGAGGAGGCAGCTTTCTGTTCCAGGCCAGGAGAAAACTATGTGGATGATGATAGGGGAGACAGAACAAACGTCAGACTCCTGTGCAGAGCCTTTCTGAGAGGCTGTCAAGGGCAATTTTGACTCATGTGGTGCCATAAGCATTGACTGTAGAACCTAAATTCTAAGTAAAGTGTGACTGCCAATTCCATCAGCAACAGCCACTAGAAGTCAGCACGTGAAGGCCCTATGCATTGCTTAAAAGGTCATCTGGAGTCCAGGATCTAGTAGGAGAGGGAAGAAATATACACAGATAACCACAGTATGAGGTAGGAACATAAAATTGCAAAGGGAAAAGCAGAGGATGACTTGCATAGTTAGATTAGTAATTCTCAGCCCTGTTTATTTATTAGAATCATCCGAAAAGTTTTCAGTAGTCTCATGCCAAGTTGTCCCCATGACTGATTAAATCAGGATAGCAGGTAGAACCAGACAGTATCAGTAGGAGAGTCCAAAGAACAGGCAAGTTTGGGAACCCAGGAACAGAGATGGGGGGAGGGCAATAAAGTTTCAAGTAATTCAAATCCCCAGAGGAAGGGGCGTCTCAGAGCCAGGCAATAGCTCCAGGGGCTCTTGCCCCCTTTGCCTCAGTTGCCATCCTCTACTGCCATCCAGTAGCAAGATAGCTAATGCAACTCTAGTCATAGCATACCATCCTCAGGATTGTGCCCAAAGGCCAGGAGTTGGGAAAAGGACATCCCTTCTTCACATTCTGGAAGCCTTCTAATTCTTGATGTTCCAAATATTTAGTGTGGAAGAAAAAACCTGTAATCTTTTGTGCATTATGTAGTGCTCTATTAATCTGATAAGTATATCAGATGAACACTTCACTAAACAGTTAACATTTTGCTAAATGTGTACAAGCTGCTTCAGCAACTAATCAATGAAAACTTACAGGTTAGACAACTTAGAATTTTTCAAACATTTAAACATGAATTGTTAAAGATTTCTAAGCATTTAATTCAAATCTTCATGGGCTAAGCATGAGCTCTACCACTAAGCTATATCCCCAGCACGCTTACGGTACCTTTTTCATAGATTTTCCTCCTTAAGTCGGGAACTCTTTGATTGTTGGCTCTCTAGCCAGTAACGTTTTGATTTTTATAACTCCCAAGTGATGCTTGTCCTGGGTGCCTTATCTTTACAACCCAGCCCAGTGTAGGTATATTTTGATACCACTTGCTTCTAGTAGAGTCCAATGTAGTTCAGTTTAGTTCCATTATAACTCTTCCTTGTCCTGAGTCTTCAAGGCCTGTTGATAAGCCTCATGGTTGGAGAGCTGTGTAATTTGTCTTTTCAAAAATATCAATTTACAAGATTGGCCATTTGTTGAAAATTACTGAAACTGGGTATTGGGTACGTAACAGTTATCTATTTTTGTACATGTTTAAAGTATCCTTTAACAGGGCTGAGGTTGTAGCTCAGTGGTAGAGCACTTGCCTTGCACGTGAGAGGCACTGGGTTCAATCCTCAGCACCATATAAAAATAAGTAAAGATACTGTGTTCATCTACAACTAAAAATCAACAACAACAATAATAATGAAAAAAACAACATCCTGTAACAGTTGGGCATGTTGAATCCCAACAACAGGAAGTTGAGGCAGGAGTATTACAAGTTTGAGACTAACCTCTGTAATTCAGTGAGGTCCTAAGGACTTAGTGAGACCCTGTCTCAAAACAAACAAAAAAATGGGCTGGGGATGTGGCTCAGTGGTTAAGTGACCCTGGGTTCAATCCCTAGTACCAAAAAATAAAAATAAATAAAATACTCTGTAACAAAAAAGTTCCAACACAATAAACCCTCAGTGGTCTAGTATATGCTTAGCTTATGCTAAGCCTCAGAAAACAAGCTAAAAATGTTCTGCCCTGTAAAGCTACTAGTAGTCACTCCATTTACCAGGCAGTTGAGTACCTCTCCCAGGCTACCACAGTAGCACCAGTACAGGGTGCATGTTGGTTCTTTGTAACATGAAAATTATTTAAACAGATCCAGCCTGCTGAGTACAAAGCATGATGCTAAGTGCCTGAAGGAAGTTGCGAAACATGACGCCATACACAGTAGGGGCAGGTGCAATGGTATTACCCTAAGGAGACTGGCCAATCACCCAGCTGGCAACTGCACAGCCACATGTTGGAGTGAAAGGACCTGTGGCTAACAGAGAGGGTCCTAGGTTGAGGAGAGGACAGATGGGGCATAGAATGTAAAAGCTGGCAGGATGATGGGGTTTTGGGTAGAGGAAGAGGAAAGGACTGGGCAAATAATTGAGAGAAGTGGTAAGGGAGGTGAGAGCTAAATTCAGAGATTTGGGCTATGTTTGGTGAGCTGGGGCAAGGGAAGAGGGAAAAGTCTAATTGGTGTTTTGAGTCAATAACATTTCTTTTTTGGCACCGGGGATTGAACTCAGGGACACTTAACCACTGAGCCACATCCCCAGCCCTTTTTATTTTGCAGTTTAAGAAATAGTCTCGGGCTGGGGATGTGGCTCAAGCGGTAGCGCGCCCATCTGGCATGCGCGCTGCCCGGGTTCAATCCTCAGCACCACATACAAACAAAGATGTTGTGTCTACCGAAAACTAAGAAATAAAATATTTAAAAAAAAAAAAAAAAGAAAGAAATAGTCTCACTAAGTTGCTTAGGGCCTCACTAAATTGCTGAGCCTGGCTTTAAACTTGTAATCCTCCTGCTTCAGCCTCCTAAACTGGTGGGATTAGAGGCATGTTCTAACATGCCCAGCCAATACCTCATTTCTTAAACCATTAAGTTTTTGTATCCCACAAATTTATCCATCACTCCATCAGCTCCTTCTTTCACACTTCATTTGAGTAGATGACATTTAAAGTTGATAAATCTTATTATAAGTGGTACAAATGTATGGCTTATAAATATGGAGCTAATAGAATAAATGAACAAAAGTGCTGACTGGTGGAAAAAGGGGAAGTAGAGGATAAGTAGGGCAGAGTACTGCTATTTTCATTATAATCTTTTTTTTAAATTTTTTCATCTGATAAAAATTAGAATTTTTTCCCATTTAAATTAATTAAAGTCGAGTACACATTGTGTTGGGTTAAGCCTTTTTCATGTTTCCCCTCTGACATGTTGAGCATTTACTGTGTGCTATCCTCTGTGCCTCTATTACCCTAGTCGCGTCAGATTGATTTAAAAGCTATCATTATTCCCATTTTACAGATAGGACACTTAAAGAAGTTTAGAGGTATTAAATAAATCACTTGAGTCTGTGAAGCTCCTATGAGCGGAACCAGAATTCCAGATGGAACCAGAATTCCAGATGGAACCAGAATTCCAGACAGGGAGAAGGAGCTATTACTCACTCCAGTTGATTCACCAATGCTCAGATGGAGGATGTACATTTTACTTAAAAACAGGAATAGTCCTGGGAATAGTGGAGGGAAGGGTTTTCTCTCCATAGCTCTGAAAGGTGCAAAAGATTACATATCAAAGAATTTATTGAAAGGAATGAAGGTAAATGTTTTAAGTATCTAATGAGATGGATTTCTGTAAGAGTTCTTGTGGAATTTCAGATTTCTAGAAAAAAGGATCTATAGGTGCTATTGAAAAGTGCCCCATCAGCCTTTGTGAGTGTTTGCCCCAATTCCTCTAGTCCCAAGCACTGGCCTTAAGATTGGAGGCCCCTATTACATTAAGGCTGTGGTATTCAAGCTTTTGTATAGTATCTCTCAGTAAGAAATCCATTTTACTAAGGACTTAGTACATCCGTATACATGTATACACGTAGATAACTCAAGCAAAA